CGATTTTACCCACAGCTGTGATCTACAATCCATTTCCTCACTAAGATAGGGCACCAGAGCAAACGACATGATTACACAAAGTTCTAGTTCTCAAATAAACTCAACTCTTAACGGTATGGCTTGTATGCGAAGTATTGCCAACTCTTATTTAGGACTTTGTATCCATGTGCACACATTTGAAGTTTGTATTTTCTGCCCTTATGCTCTGCTCAGGTTGTTTTTTTTTTTTCTCAAAATTATTCTGACCCCACGAAACAAGTTAGTTAAGTATTCATTCCTATTCTCCTATTCTACTCTATCCAGTGGCTATCTAACTTATTGTTATTTGATAATGTATCTACAAGAATATAAAATGGACATTTAAACATAGAATTAATAATTGAGTTTAGCTGTTTTATAAACACACACACATACATCTACACACAATAAGCATATGAATAAAGGATAGCATTAACATGTGATCTTAACAGATTTTCCAAATAGATAACCTATGTTGATAACTGATTGATACATACACTGTCAGCAACTAGTAAGCAAAGACAGTGTTGCAAGTCCAATGATACTAATCATGTTATTATAATGATTTGGATGTTCCATTTCTCCCCCAGCATCCCGTCTGCTGAGGTTTTTACTCTCCAGTGCAGAAGGGTTAAAAGGTGACACTACAGGGTGCTGGGGGCTCTGACCTCAGCAATTAATTCTTCTATTGGTCGATTCATAATCATACACTATTGCAGAAGAAGGGCTGGAAACATTAGGACGTGAGGCCAAATGGGAAGAAGCGGGTCACTGGAGGCATGCCCTGGAAAGATAACCTCACCACCAGCCTCTTCTCCACTCTCTGAGCGTCCTTTCCAGCATGAAGTCCATCCCACCATGCGGACAGTTTGCCTTGTCTTGTTTCCAAAGCAAGAAAGCTACCTGACCGCAGGCAGAAACCTCTTAGAACTGTGAACCAAATGAAACTTTCTTCCTTTAGGATTGATTTAGCCAAGTTTATTTTGAGGATTTATTTGTTTTTATTTTATGAGCATGAGTGTTTGCCTGTTTGTAGGTGTACGCACCCTCGTGCTGTATGTGAGAGGCTAAAATTATCTGGAGGGCATTAGATTATCTGGAGCTGGAGCTACAGGTGTGCCCCATATGGGCACTGGGAACTCAACCCTGGTCCTCTGCAAGAGTAACAAGTGCTCTTAACTGCTGAGTCATCTCTCCAGCCCCAGATTTTGCCAAGTTTGTTTGCGACAGTGACAGGAAAACAATAGGCAGGTGACTAAACAGGATTTTTCAAATGGGTAAGTCATTCACGCAAAAACCTGTACAGTATTGAAAGAATTATTATTTTGAATAGATCTACGGATGGCAAGACATAAAAATCATGAATCAGAACACTTTCTGTACATATTCCAGTGCCACTAACAGGTCTACAGATTTCCTTTCCAGTCAAAATTCCAAAAGTAGTTTTGCGGAAATGAATAATCTCACTTAAATACTGTACAAAACATGTAAAGAAAAGCCACACAATTAGAAGAAAAATAATAAAGAGGGACATGCTACTAAATACTAACATATTATAAGTCTGCATCCCATTAGGGCAATTATACCCACAAACTAGAATATAATAGGCAGCCCCCCCAACAACAAATATACATTTTCGTGTGTAACAACACAAAGAACAGTGGAGAAATGGAGTCTTTTAGTAAATGGCTAAGTCTACTTTGTAACATTGTAACAAAATTCAACATGCTTACTAAGTTATGAAGACATAAGTCATTCCTTACAGTTCCAGACGTCAGGAAGCTCAATGTCAAGGTGTCAGCATCTAACGCGGATTTCCTTGTTGTGTCACAGCAAATGGTATAAATGCAAGAAAGCATGCGTGTAGGAGAGAGAAGCCAAGCAGGGCCTGCAGGCTGCCATAACGTGGTAGTTAGTTCTCACACAAGCTTGACACCCTCTGGAGTCATCTGCGAAGGGAGTCTCAGGGAGAGACTCTCTAGTCTCGATAATATTTTCCTGTGGGCATGCATAACAGGGGCTATCTTCGCTATATCAGTTGGAGTGAGAAGGTCAGCCCACTGTGGGCAGCACCATTCCCAAGGCAGGGGGTTCTGGCCTCTGTAAGACTGGACCAAGCGGTTCCAAACAGACATCCAGTGCACTCGGCATTGCGCATGCTCTCACGCCATGCAAGGCCGACAAATGGCGTCTGAAACACCCCCGCTCAAATTTAAGACGGATGCTAAGGGTTGCAGCAGTGCTTTGAACAGGAAGTTTTCCATCCGTACAAAAACTAATGTTTAATTACAGAAAACAAAGGTTTTTCCAGCCACCATTCGGCAGCATATAAGTATCCTACTATCCTTGGATTGGCTTGTGTTAGACCTTAGGCAGACAAGTGCCTCCTCGTATTTATTAGCATGTAAACTGTGTTCCTCTTTAACAAATGGTAAGATTATCTGTAGACCAAAGAATTGCATTCAAATAAATTTCTTTTTGATTTGTCAGTAAAAGTTTGGTTTCTATACCCACTTTTATACACACAGGGCCAGACAGAATTTTGTCAGGGAGGGCTGGAGAGATGGCTCAGAGGTTAGGAGTGCTGGCTACTCTTGCAGAGGACCTGGGCTCAATTGCCAGCACCCACAGGGCAGTTCACAACTGTCTGTAACTCAAGTTCCAGGGGTTACTTCATCCTCTTCTGGCCTCTGTAGTCCACTATGCACACACATGGTGCACAGATGGACAAGTAGGCAAAGCACCCATACACATTAAATAGAAGATAGATAGATAGATAGATAGATAGATAGATAGATAGATAGATAGATAGATAGATAGACAGATAAAAACTTGTCAGGGAAAAAGAGGTTGTACCTGACTAACACTTAAGATTTTCTGCTGTAGAGCACTATAAATCCTGTTTAAGTTGACAAATAACGCAAAATCTCAGGAGGAAAATAAAACACGTTATAGATAAAGCAGCCCAACTCAGGGGTGGCCAGCTGAGTGTCAAAGCTCCACAGAATTCCAAGAGGAAATTCAGGGTCACTTACATCCCCTCTGTCCCATCCGGCTAACCAGAAATGGGAGGCAGTCAAGAACAAGAGAGGCCCCTCCTGTCAGAAAGAAAGCCTCTCGCTTTGACAGTTAAGCACGAGGAAGCATAGAGTCTGCCCGCACTTTTGATTTTCTGAGGGCTTGCACGTTTTAGCCACTAACAGTTTCACTGGTGTTGAAGGCTATCTAGCACTTAGCATGAGTTAAAAAGAAAGGGGCGGAGACGGGAGGCAGCAGAGAGGGTGGAAGGGATGCCCAGTACCTAGGATGGGGCACAAGGCAGGCCAGATCCCTCCAAAGCATTTTAGACAGCACAACCTTGGATATTCATTATGCTCCCACCCCCAAAGAAAAGGCATAAAAATTAAACCAAGGAATTAATTAGAGTGCAAAGTCGATGAGGAGAAAATGGCTCATATTCTCCTCATTGATTTCCTATGCACAGAGTCCAACTTGATGGCTGGTGGACGTCGGCTGGGCCCCTTCTCATTTCTTTCTGTGCCGTTGGGCTCTCCTGCCAGGGTCTTTCCTGCTGGAGTCGTGCTCGCCTCTAATCACTGCTGTCAGCTACAGAACGAGTTTGACACCCTGACTCCAGAAATGAGGGCGCTTGCCCCCATGCCTACGCAGCCCCTTCCTTCATTAAGGCTGATTGACATAACGGATCGGGTGTACAGTCAGAGCTTTGTAAGAAAAACAAATGGCGATGTGTAGATTCAAGTGGAAATCTCCTTGATCAGAAACCCGAGGAGGGAGGGGGGCAAAGAGCCAAGACTGTACACAATTCAACCAGAGTTGCTGCCAAGACACACATTTTTATTCCTATAGAACAATACAATCAGCGAAGACAATACACGCGTCCGCGTGCACACGCATATGCGCGCGTGCACACAAACACACACACACACACACACCTCCGATTCACTCTTCTACTGTGTGATTGTTAGTTTTAATTGCCAATAAGACACGATGTAGAATCACTGAGGAAAAGTTTTAGTACGGGATTGTCTGGATCAGGTCGATTTGTGGAAATGTCTATGGGGGTTAACTGATGGGGAAAGACCCAGCCTAAATGTAGAGGCACCATTCCCTAAACTAAGTACTGAATTGTATAAGGACTAGAGTAAAAACGAATCCAGCATAGGCATCCACTCATCCTCTCTCTCTTTCTCTCTCTCTCTCTCTCTCTCTCTCTCTCTCTCTCTCTCTCCCTTCCCTCCCTTCCTCTTTCTCATCCCCCTCTTTCTTCCTGTCTTTCTTTCTCTGCTGAGACTGGATCAAACTAGCTGCTTCAAGTCCCTGCCTTGACTCCCCCACAATGATGATTGCAACCTGGAATTGTAAGCTAAACCGGACCCTTTCTCCTAAGTTGCTCCTTGTCATGGTATTTTATCACGGCAACAGAAACAACACTAGACCATCCTACAGCCCTTTCTCGATTGCCTCAACTCTAGAATCAAATACTCAGTGATAAGTGGAACCAGTTAGTTCAGACATGAGCATCCTCACTGCATGCCACCATATCCATAGTGTATTATGGTTTCCCAAGTAGACAGTACTGTATCTCACGTGGGTATTATGATGCACCCACGTGGGTATCAAGATACCTCGCCTAGGGAGGTAGAGTGACCGGCTGCACTTGCCTGGTTCCAGGGACGAATGGTTGCCACATCTCCAGAAAACATGGGAAGGGGGAGAAATCAGACCCACACAAGACACAGGAGTTCCCTTCCCACCGCGACCCCATTGCCTTGAGATATATCTGGAAGAAATTCCCTCTGCCTGCCTTCTAGAACCTTTCGCTAGACTGGGAAGCAGCCTGCCAGAAGCAGTGAGGAAATCCCGCTTCTGAAACAGCCTGAAGGTTGCGCAAGCCTGAAGGTTGCGCAGGCGCAGCCCCACAGCTTTCTGGAAGCCACTTCCTGCTTGGTTTCCTAGCAACGGAGTAAGCGTTGTTGACAACCACAGAAACTGCAGCTCAGGTTTGAGAGTGGAGCTGTCCCACAGGCGCGATGGTAAATCTGGCTGGGTCCATGTCTGGAAGGGCAGGGGTGGGCGACACCCATGGGCACAGCTGTCTTGGGAGGGCTTCACTATTTACGGGATGGCAGCTGGAAAGGGAGACAGGGGAGGAGCTGAGGTGAATCTAGGAGCCAGGGAAGTTTGCAAAGAACAGTAGAAACACTGGGACCAGGAGAACAGAAGGGGAAGGGAGGGGAGCAAGAGACAAAGAGGGAAGAAAGGGAAATCAGGAGGGAGGGAGAAAAGGAGGGAGGGAGGAAGGGAGGAGGAATGGAGAGAGGGAGGAAAGGAGGAAGAAATAGAGGGGGAAGAAGGAAAAGGATGAGGAGGAGGGGAGAAGGAGGGGAAGGGGGAGGAGGAGAAAAATAAGAATAAAAGAAGGAAGCAAAGGGAAGAAGAGAGAGGGAAGGGGAAAGGAGAAGGGGGAAAGAGGTGGGGCAGTGGGGGCTTCTGGAAGTCAGAAGAGAAGCACCCTGGAGGAGAGGGAATGGTAAGGAGGAACAAGGAGTGGAGAGGAGCGATGGAGGGAGGGGGAGGGGAGGGGAGTTGGTGGCTTTGGGGGAGCTGTAGACAATCTCCTAAAATGGTCAGAACGTTGGTAGTTTGGGGATCTTCTGAGCCAGAAGGACGATCAAGAAATGCCAAGTTTCAGTGATTCACCCCATGAAAAACAACTCCTTTTTCTTTCTTTTGTTCTTTCTTCCTTCTTTCCTTTTCTCCCTTCCCTTTCTTCCTCCCTCCCTCCCTCCCTTCCCTCCCCTTCCCCCCTTCCTTCCTTTCTTTCCTTCTTTCCTTCCTTTCTTCCTTCCTTCCTTTTGTCCAAGGCTGTGTATGGGACAAAACAAGTTCCCGGCACTATCATTTCCTTGATATGACTGTCGCTGGCCATGTCTTATTTTCACTTTCAGAGGACACCTCAGGCTCAGGACTCGTGACAGTGAAATATAAAAACACACTTTCTTCCTTGTTTTTACCATTGTTTTCTATTTGTGACAGGGAGGCAGCTTTTAACCTGTGGGAGCAGCGAATAGTCTGCTCTATAGATGCAGTTCTTTAAGCTTTGGGCCATGATGTAATTTAAAGTACATGCTAATTAAATATTAATAGTATTCATAGTGGGGAAAGCCATGCCATTTCCTCAATTCAGAAAACCCCTGCTCTCTTGAGATGAAATAGACTCATAAGTGTTCTCTCACATCTACACTGGGTGCAAAAGAAAACTGATTTCTGAATGAAATAACCTAACATTCATTTGGAAGAGGCTGGGGAAAAAAATAATAGGACTAAATTCTCATCAAATGGTTTCCAGGCCAAGTGGGGCATGGAAACGCCTGTCTGCAGCCCCAGCGCTCAGGAGGCTGAGGCGGGAGGATTGCTGCAAATTCAAGACCAAACCTGAGCTACATAATGTCAAACTCTGCCTCAGAGGGAAAACCTCACAAGTGAATCTTTATGAGGTTAGAGAGATGGCTTGGTGCCTCAGAACACTAGATACTCTTGCAGAGGACCCAGGTTGAATCCCCAGCACAACAGAGTAGCTCACAACTGTCTGTGACTCTAGGTCTAGGTGATCTCACACTCTCTTCTGGCCCCCACTGGCACCAGGCATGCACTTGGTGCACAGATGTACATGAAGGCAACACCCATAGACATAAAATAATAAAATATATTTTACAAAGACATGTCAAGACTCTCAATGTGCTGTTGAAAACAAAATGGCAGCACAGGGGGCACAGTGGTTTATGGGTAGTGAGCTCATAAAGGTGAACATAAAACATCTGTGGGGTCCCAGTCATTCACAGCTAAGCACTCAGCTTAAACCAAGACACAAACCACTGTAGTCAAGAGACCCCAGTATCCGGCAATATGCTACCCCCAGAGGACACCCTTTGTAAGTAATCACCAGAATGAATCCCAAGTGGAGGTGTCAAAAGAAACTAAGGTGTCTCACCGAGGACAGCTTTTGGACACTCGGAGGATACAGTGTTGATCAGTAAATGCTCAAGGACTAAGACACACAAAAGAAGTTTTTGTAAGAACAGAAATGGGAGCTACTAAAAGATGAACCTATAGTAGCTTTCTGGTCAATATAAAAACAAGCAAAACAAGCACAGCTTTTCTAGCCAATGAGGACCCTTCTCTGTCTCTGTTGGGACTGAAGCCTGTCTGTCTAGGTTCTACGCAAGTGGAGGCTTCTTACACAGTCCCCATGTGAGATGGAACAGCCAGCTCTAAGCTCCCCTCTCGCACAGCCGAGCACACAGCGTCCAGTTCCTCAGTTAAAGAACTAGGGGACTGGGTAACTTCCTAGTTGTTCTCTGTAGAGTTGATGTCACCAAGAGGCCCTTCTGGTTAATAGTGGCCCTCATCTCTTGCAGACAGAGGTGGAGGAAACCCTCAAGAGAATCCAGAGCCACAAAGGGGTCATTGGAACGATGGTGGTCAATGCAGAAGGTAACTTCTTGCCACAGACTGACTGAGCCTGACACACATGCTAACTGGGGACTCATGTATTGTGTCAAGAGAGGAGACACTTACCTTAGAGTCTGAACTGAAATCACGTTTTGTCTGTCCCAGCCCTAGCAGTAATTCATCAGACACCTATTGATACTTAGTACATACCAATCATCCATCTAAGAGACTTTCCCTACAATGCCTACGTATTCCTAAGAAACACTACACGGTGTCTTCTTCAGAAACTCTGGTCATTCACATCCCTTCGGGAGGGCCGGCAAAGCTCTCTTATTGAAGAGAGGGAAAATTATGTGATTGGCAGTTTGTTTTCAGCTTAATGTTATAAAGGCTACAGGACAGAGCTTCAATATTCATTTAAAATTAAATTTTTCTTTTTATCATATTAGGTAAAAAAAAGTTTACAGTTCATTTTTATTTATTTTAATAATGACTTTAATTTATTGTTTGGAAATTTTGTGCAGGTATCTTTCATATAAGTATATAATGCATCTTAGTCATCCCTTTTCTCCACTGCCCCCCAAGTCTCTCCAGGACCCTCGAACATAGAATCATTTCATCGCATTTCTGCAATAGACTTGTAAATAGCAGGCGGGAAGGAATAATGCATTCCCAGCTAGGAAATGTGGACACTTGCCTGGGACTCACTGTCTCTTAGCCATCCACAACAAGAATCTGCATAGTGAGCCTGCAAGGTGGCTCAGTGGGCAGAGGTGCTTGAGGGCAAGCCTGGAGATCTGAGTTCTATCACCAGCACCCACGTGGTGGAAAGAAATGAGTGACTCCAACAACTTGTCCTCTGACTTCCACGTATGCACAGGTGCAGGTGTGCCCACATACGCAAGTACCCACCCCAAAATTAGAAGATTCTGTGTTGCATGTTTCCTGGCTCATGGCTCCATGTTCTGTCTCTTAAAGGTCCCTGCTTGCCCCACTGCTAATTCTGGCATTTGTAAGAGTGAGGGGTGCCAACATTGCTCCAGAGAATTCTTTGAAATAAGAGTAGCCTCTTCTAATTATCTGCAGTGGGTACAACCATAGAATTGGCTGACCCCCAGCTCGAGTGTTCTGGTGTAATCCATCAGTAAATGCTATTGTGCAATCACCAGCTAAAAGACTTGAAATTCTGAACTCTGGTTCCTTGTCATTAAGGATGGAACACAACCTGAGCTCCTGGTGGTTGCAGCAGCTAGATGAGAAGACTATCAAGGGTCCAGTTTAATTGCCAACCGTTAACAGAATTCTAATTAAAGAATTTTTGAGAACTTTTATTTAGTTTAGATTTGCAGAGGTAACATTTGGTTTGTTGGATAAAATAAAAAAATAACTCCACCAAATGCATGTATTGATAAATTCATTGAGCTGGTGAATGAGGAAGAAGGAGTTAGGATTGTCCATACAAGAAGTGAAAAGCTGGGCCATCTATTTCCAGGAAGTGGTCAGCTCTTGGTGTGGCTCTGGCCAAACCGATTCTGCTTCCAAGTATCTGCTACAGGGTCTCCCACCCCAACTTGCACGAGCCATCCGTGTGATTTAGCAGAGATGCCTTGCGAGTTTGCTTTGGCTGTGGCAACAAATGCCACACACGCGCTCATTGTCTTTGAAGAGCAGAAATGGGTGCTGGGGCGATAGCTCCCTCAGTGAAGTGCTCGCTGAACAAGCATGAGGACCTGAGTTCGGATCCCCGGCACCCATGTGAAAAGGTAGACGCAACAGCTGTGCTCCTGGAACACCAGTATTTGGGGAAGAGGAGACGAGGGTATCCCCACGGCTCCCGGGCCAGGCAGCCCTAATAAATCAATAAGTTCCAAGTTCTCTGAGAGACCCTGTTCCAGTAAAAGTAAGGTGAACTTGAAGCTAGCATGCCCCTGGGTCGTGGTCTTTCTGAGGACTTTATGACTGGACCAGCTTCCTGACCTCTTACTAGTTTCTAGTGCTAGTCAGCCATCAGTGTTGCTTGGCCTACAGACAGGTTTCCCTAGTCTATAACTATGATGGCCTACCCTAATTCAGTATGGCTTCTTTTTTTTTTCCCTCACTTTTTTAAAAATTGTATTTGTTAAAAAAAGAAAACAAACTATCTTTTTTTCCATTTTACATACCAATCCCAATTCCCATTCCCTCCCCTCCTCCCATTCCCTCCACCTTCTCCCCATTCTAACCCCCCCCCCATCCACTCCCCAGAGAGGGCAAGGCACGTTGCTCCAAGGAAGGACCAAGGCCCTCCCTACTATATCCTGGTTGAGCAAGGTATCCATCCAAAGAGAATGGGTTCCAAAAAGTCAGTACAAGCAGCAGGAACGAATCCTGGTGCCACTGCCAGTGGCCCCACAGTCTGCCCCAGCCAGTATGACTTTGTTTTAACTGATTGCATCTATGGGGAAGCTCTTTCCAAACAAGGCTGTCTTCTGAAGTGTCAGGTGGACTTAAGTTTGGGAGAACACTTCAACCCGGTATAGGCGCAGGCTCCCTTGGCACCTAGGCCAATGCCTTAATCTAAAGTGCCCAGTCCTGGTGAGGCACATCAGATACTGGAAGGATACCACACCAAAGCGTGGTGGAGAAAAGATTTGGATCCAAGAACAAAAGGGAATGAAGCAACAGGAAGCCTTTTGGGTTCCTTTAAACAGCCAGGTGCATATGCATATTTCAAGTAAACACTGGGGGGCTGGGGATGTGGCTCAGTTGGTAGAGGATCTGCCTAACCTGCATAAGGCCTTGGGTTTTACTGAAGAAATAGGACTTGGTGGGAAAGGCCTATGATCCCAGAATTGGGGCAGTGAAGGAGTTCAAGGTCACCCTCAGTCAGTTTGAGGCCAATCTATGCTTTGTGGCACCCCATCCCCTCCCACAAAAAAAAATAAAAAAATAAAAAAATAAAAAAAAAGAGTGAGGAAGGAAAGGTTCAGATATCAGAGTGATTCTCCCCCAAGTAGTGGAATTAGAAGTAAGGTTTTGAGGGAAAGTTTCTCTCAATTTCTTGATGAAAGCAACAAAAATGTTATCTTTAAATACCATCCGCTTTCCCCTAACTGCCGCTAGAATAATACTATGTCAGAAATCAGGGCATTTGTAAAGGTTGCGGAAACTTGATTTTTACCTGACTTCAAATTAACCTGTTCCCCAGCTTACTTTTGTGGTCAGGTGGTTAATGACCAGAGCATGTCAGGGCTGCTTCCTAATGGCATACGGTATAAGCCATGTGACCTGAATGTAACCAAACAATCTTCACAGCCTTCTCAAGTGTTGCTGGAGGCCCCCAGTTCAGCTTCACGGCCTTCAGAAGTCCTGGGCATTCAGTACTAAAGGCAGGTCCCCAGGACACTATTGCCACTCCCTTGTTCCGCCAGTGGTTGTGGCCGACGCGACTCATAGACAATGTTTTAACATCGTTATCAGCTTGCCTGGTCCACTTTCTTTATCCAGTTAGATGGCATCACATGCCAGGTTGCGTACTGAGCCTTTGCCTTGTTTCTAAGACACAGGTTTCCCACTCAAGACAAGAAAGAAGACGCAATTGCTATGTCTGAGTGGCCTAGGTTTTGACGACAGTGGCTCCTTTATTCATTTTAGTTTCCCGTTTATAAGAATACTCATCATAAGACCAATACGCAAACATCTACCTCCCAGGTACGCAAAGTTCTCATATAGTCTTTTACGGATAACCCCAGTTTCTATAGGCTTTTGACTTTAAATATTCTTGACACGTCCAATAATTCATCTTTTGAATATCATTAGATTTTATCAGCCATTCAGCCGGTTGGCTCCTTTGCTTCTGAAATACAATCGACCCGCCAAAGCACAAATGCGCAGCTGCAGATGGCAAGCTGAAATACTGACTCCCAGCTTCTCAGGATGACAGGCAGTCATATTCCAGAGCGCCGCCATAAATCCAACAATATCAAATTTTAAAATGTTCATATGTTTGGTTCAGGGGGCTCCGTTTTGGAAACGTCTCCTACCCAAACAAACAAATATGCAATGATAGGTTATGCAGACTTGCTAATGGAAGTCATAGATTGAGAACGGTCTAAATGCCCGTCAGGAGGTAAGCTACATATTACAAAGCAGACATTCGATTGCCTGTTAAATCGTTGAGCCTTATGTGTCCTACCAAAAAATTTCCTGAAGTTATTAAATGAAAATATTAGGGTATTTCTAAATATCCTATTTCTAAAATAGAAACTATACACACAAATACATATTCGTGAAGAATGGTGGGGAATTGCTTGTCATTATCTGAAAAACTAGAATACAAAGCAGTGGTTAGTATTTCCTAATTGTTTACACAGTCAGGTACATGAATACACTCAAATATGAGAAAGACAGGGGGCGAGGTGAAGGATATAGCCCAACTGGCAGAGGGCTCACTTCACAAATGTGAGGCTATGAATTCTGATCCCCAGTACTACAGAAAGAGATGAGGGGGGAAGGGAGGGAGGGAGAGAAGGAGGGAGGGAGGGAGGGAGGGAGGGGGGGAGGGAGGGAGGGGGAGGGAGAGAGNAGGGAGGGAGGGAGGGAGGGAGGGAAGGAGGGAGGGAGGAAGGGAAGGAGGGGAGGACTAGCCTAGGCATAGATTCTAGCAATCACATGAGTGATAAATCAAGGTGATTCTCACCACCTTTAGTGTATTCCTAGATGGGACTGGAGGAAACTAGGACCTATGATTGCTTCTCAGACAGGAGATGGTTGAGGCTGGAGAGATGACTCAGTCAGTAAAGAGCTCACCCTGAAAGCACAAGGACCTGAGTTCTATTCCCAGTGGGTGAGGTGGTGGCCACTTATAATCCCAGCACCAGAGATGCAGACAGGAGGACTGCTGGGTTCACTGGCCAGCTGCAGCTGATAGACCCTAACTGGCGAGTTCCAGGCCAGCGAAATACTCTGTCCCACAGGAAATACACAACATCCCTGAGGATGACACCTGACACCTGTGGTTGGTCTTTGCCCTACGTGCGCATGCATACACACACACACACACACACACACACACACGAACGCACGCACGCACGCACACACACCAAAGCAAGTGACTGAACTTTATGCCATGTACTGAAATCATTTTTGGCTTTGTTTCCATGAAAGAGCTGGCCTCAAACACACAGCCATTTTCCTGTCTGGGTCTCTAAAGCGCTGGTGTTAAAGACATCCACTCCCACACCCAGCCTAAAAACTACTTCTTAATAAATTCGCTTTAACTGGTACAAAGCAAGAACTTACTAAATATTTCCCAACTGGTTGTTTTGGTTGGTCTGGGGAACCAGGGGCAGGGGAGCAAAACCCAGGGCCTTGCATTTGTTAAGCAAGCACTTTGTCATTGAGCTAAATCCCCAACCCTGACCTCTCGGTTGTCTGTTTTCAAGTGTCTGAGAGTGAAAATATCCTGCTTCCACAGTTTGCATGTGTTCTTCAGAGAGCTGGCCTCTTTTATTTATTGGCCTGGATTACGGACAGACAGCTTCAGCAGCCCAAGCCTTGTCATCTACACTTTGAAGAATTTATTCTGGTTCTATTTCTTATCCTGACACTGAGCAATTCAGGCGTCAGTGGTTGTCAGTGTTTAAGATATGAAACAAAACTGTCCAAAAGCATATCTAGAAGTTGGGTGCCTGCTACCCCACTGCTTCCCGCTGGCTACAGATGCATGACTTGTGACTTCTTGGCTATGAAAGACAACAAATTTCACTTGGGAAGAAAGTGGCCAAGACATAATACTATGGAAATGAATGGTTTTACATGATACCTCATCTACAGAATAGGTCACGCTGTGGATACTGGACAACCTTTTGTTACTGTTCTGGAGACAGTGTTATCGCAAAAGGAAGTTTTGTTGGTTTCAAAGTCAAAACTGACAGTCTCCCACAGATTCATGAAGACTTGATAAAATTCTAAGATAGTAATCATTTGACGCTGCAAAACGCTCCTTTTTGGCGTTAGTTTCTGGAGCTCTGTTTTGTGAAGGAAAACCTAAGAGCTGCTTTTTTTTTACTTTTGTTGACTGGCCTTTTTACAGATGCTTAAGAGATTTGACAGCGATCCCAGACAGACTCCTGTTCTGTGTCCCCCTAAAGTGAGGGCACACTTTGAAATGTTTATTCCTCTCTTGCAGTTCTCAATATAAAGGTTATCTCTGATCAGATATAATGGGGATGGAGCACCTAACTTGGTGCCTGCCGCATAATGCACACTGGGTGCTGAGTGGCCCAACTGGGGCTCTCTCTGTAGCTTTGAACTGAATTGACTCAGACTTGCAAATTTGTCTGGCTAGAATTTTTTAATTAAATCAGTAGATTTAATCTGTTTTAATCTCATATAATACACCAACAGAGTGAACAAGAGGCCAAATTTAATAATGCTTCCGTAGAAAATAAACACAAACCAGGGATACTCACCCAGAAAAGTCAGGCTCCTTGTTACCATAATTTTCTAACCTAAAATTTGCTTGCAAAGCACTGTGGGAAGAGTTAGAAATTTGCAGTGCTCCTGCTGAATAGACTCCCTGGATTAAGTAGTGCTGGCCCTTTGTGTCTCTTGTTCCAGGAAAGCAGACAAAAATGCCACATTATAAACCACATATTTCATAAGAGGTATGCCTTGATAATGCATATATATATGCAATTAGAGTTAAATCATATATATATATACACATGATTAAGATTAAAACAATCAATTAACAGCTTCCAGCACAAAATATTCACAACACATTCACTGTTAAAAATGTAAGCTACCAAATGAACAAACAATATATTGATCCCATTACAACATATCCATAAAATAAAAGCATGCAGTAATGGGAATACTATTATTAGCAATGGAAGCTCGTGGGTTCTGACTTCAACGCTGAGAAAGCCACAGTCAAACTTGTAAACAGCTCTTGACTCGTCTCTACTTAAAACTCTAAATGGAGACAAAAAGGTGGTAAAACAAACAGACAGCTAAAATTGGTGCCAGCTAGTAATACCCCCCCACCCATCAGCTTTTCTCCATCTGTAAGGATAAGTGATCTCTAGTAGTAGATTTTACAATGTATGCATCTCCCTTACAATCCGGAGAAACGTAACTCCAAATTACATCTCATCACAGGCATTCCGATCCGAACTACCCTGGACAACTCGACAACGGTCCAGTACGCAGGTCTTCTCCATCAGCTGACCATGAAGGCCAAGAGCACAGTCCGGGACATTGACCCCCAGAACGATCTGACTTTCCTTAGGATCAGATCGAAGAAACACGAAATCATGGTAGCCCCAGGTAACTGGACGTGCCGTTTCATACTTCAAATGCTTTTCCACTTCACTGGTTTAAGCCTTGCTTCGAAGACTGAGGGATTATCGAGTCTTGGCGAGGGTACAGATTGCAATATGCGAGGGGAGGCTGCAAGCTCTTTCATTACGAAAACAAAGATGTTCCATTCTGAAGAGCCAAACTCAAATATTGTATGAAATTAGCAAATAATTTAATCGTTGCCCAAGCTGAATTTTACCAATTTACGCTTCCTATTTATCAAAATAACCAATGTGTGGACTAGGACATCACTGGAGACGGGCTTGGGGGATCCCCACTCTCATCTGGCTTTCAGTTCGCTCTGCTTCCTGAGGGTGGTTGGGAAACGCTCTCTTAGCTAGCTGCCTGCTCTGGCCCCCTCAGCTGCCATGCCTCAACTGTCATTATGGCCTCTCCTTTAGTTTTTATTTTAGCGTGTGTGCTCATGCGTGCACGTGTGCGTGTGTGTTATTTAAAAGCAGGTCCATAAATGGCAGAATAGCACACAGACTCTCAGAATGGTGGCAGAAGTGACCCATCTGGGAATAAAGTAAGAGGTGCGTCCGAGGCGAGTTGCATGTTGCCTCCCTGTGAGGTGCATGTGACCAGCTGGTCAACTGGAAGACATGGCCAGAGTCACTTCCTTGAAGGAATTACGTTCACCGAGTTTCTGAGTAATTGTGTTATGGCCACAAACATAGCATCTAGCACAGAAGCACATCAGATAAGTAGATAAAGCTTTATCTACTGCTGCACACAAATACCACTTGTAGGATATTTATTAAAATTAGCCATGCCGGGAACAGCAAATAAGTGAAATTATTAATGCAGGACCAAGTCTGTGTGCTCTCAACTTTTCTAGTGCACCATGGTAATTCTGATGTGCGGCCATTGTCCCCACGATGTCCTTGTGGTGTTCGGGAGAGAGCAGGCTAGCTGAAATGTTCATGGGTTAGATGCCAATTAACTTGATTCATGTTTCTCCTTAGATAAGGAGTATCTTCTGATTGTCATCCAGAACCCCTGTGAGTAGACCTGCTGCGGCCCACTCAGCCCTCATGACGACACCTGGAAGCCCTTCACTCCTCCAGCCCGTAAAATTGACCCTAACTGAGTCTGGAGACATGCTCTCCTGTTTTGAAAACGAAACACTCTACACGTCTGTCTCCGTTAGTCCCCTTTGACCATACTGTGGTCTTGTGCTTTTACTGTATAATAAACAATTTCTGTCATCTATGAATCTGCTTTTAAATAACACACACACACACACACACACACACACACACCTAACATAATCAATACTAAAGGAGAATCCATAGGGACAGTGGAGGCAGCTGAGGGGGGACAACAGGCAGCTGAGAGGGTGGTTTTCATCCACACCCAGAAAGCAGAGTGAACCCAAAAACAAGATGAGGCTAGGACATCTCCCAAGCTCACCTCCAGTGCCATACTTCTTCCAACAAGGCTCCACATCCTAAAGGTTCCCCAAACCTCCCCAGACCTCCCCAAAGGGCACCACCAACAGGGACCACCTCAGCACAGGCCAGAAGGTGCCAGTGACATGCTCTGTCATTCCCCATGTTAATCCCTTGACTCTGGAACTAGGTTGTGGCCCAGCAAACCCCAGACATCCTCTTTCCCCTATCCATATCACAGTGCCGAGGTTACAGATGTACAGTACAGAGCTGTGTCTGGCTTTTTACATGGGTGATGGGGATTCAAACTCTGGTCCTCAGGCTGTGCTGAACGTGCTCTTACTCCCTGACTCAGCTCCTCAGATTCACAAATCCTATCTTGATGCATTCTATATTACAGGTTCCTCAGCTGAGATCGTTGTCATGGGTAAAGGGTTTTCCTCTCCTATCATCTCAATAAAGTCCGGGTACAATCATACAGTCCATTCCTGGACAGCTTCGGTGTCTTCTGATAATTCAGTATAAATGAGATCTTTTTAGAAACCAAAAAAAAAAAAAAAACAATACATTAAGGAGGAGGGTGGTCCTGTTCCTCTTAAGATTTGCAAAATTTCAGAGCTAGAAAGGACCAGAGAGCTCACTTGTCCAAGCCCTAGGTAAATATTTCACCTGAGCCCAGTCCAGGTGTCCTCAAGACATCAGAGATATGAGTTTGAAGTGGTCTGGGTATACCCATGGAATTGGCACACACGCCCTTATTAGGGGCTCTGTGAGATCCCCCCACATCCTCCAAAAATGCTTTCAGAGGATACAGCATTGCATGCTGTTTTAAAATACACAGAAGTAACAGTTGAATCCTAAATCTGTCATCACCTCTTAGCTTCCCAGCCCACCCAGAGCTCACGAGCAAGATGCAAGACTGAGTAGTAAAGCCACATCCTTCTGTCGGGCCAAGTCAAAAATTTCAAGCCCCATTTGAGACAGAGTGGTGTGAAATCTCTGGCAAGTGCAGACTGCACCGCTGCAAATGCCAGGGCTCCATATGGGCTCCTTCGGGGAGGACAGCCTCTTCCCCACCAGGCAGGTAACTCACAGAAGACCTTCCTCGGTGCGCACCCAGAGTTAACTCTGTTGAGGGCAGAGACTGTGACAGCGAACCAAAGAACTTATCAGAGCCAGTAACAACCGAAATGGATGTTGTCTCGTGGAATTTGTACCACATCTCTGTTCCAGCGCATGGGCCCCCCTATCCCCTCTGGGACTCACAACCGCATAGATTCATAACATACAAGCTATATTTCAAAGATGACTGCACGTAAAGACTAACGATCCAGGCTCATGCAAAGGCATTGGTGGATTTTCTTTCCCCACTGAGAAATGCAAGCCTGAGCTCATGCTGTGTCTCCTTTTAATCCAGCTAGCTGCAAAATTTACCTGTACAACGGGGGAGCTGTTTGCAGAGTCTCTGGAGGGACAGATTCCTAACCGTAAATATTAACAGTAATAAGCCTCAAAGTCAAGTTTAATGAACCAGCCGAAAGCATATCTACACATCGTTAGCACCACGCACTTCCCATCTTCCTCTCTGAGGAGCAGAGCCATTCCGTTGGAGGCTTTGGGGGATCTGTCCAGAGCTCTAATATGAGACTGTCTATCTTATTCTAAAGCCAAAGTTACCATAGGGTGTGTGTGTGTGTGTGTGTGTGTGTGTGTGTGTGTGTGTGTGTGTGTGTGTGTGTGTACATGAATGCAGATGGCTGTGGAGGCCAGCAGAGGGCAGCAGATCTCCTAGAGCTGAAGTTACAGGTGGTTGTGAGCTACTCTGCGTAGGTACTGGAAACCAAACCTGGGTCCTCTGCTAAAGCACTAAGAACTCTTAACCCCCGATCTATCTCTCCATCCTCTTTCTGCAGCTTTCAAAAAAATTAAAGTTATCTCCAATATGTGTTTAGCACAAAGCAAAGTATCCTCACTACCCACCCCCGTTAGAAAATCATGCAATGACCCTGAGATGGGGACAAGAGCATGGGCAGATGAACTGATTGCATTCATTCAATATTTGCCCATATTGATAATGAGGGAAAGTGGATGATCTTTGGGACCGGAAGAGTTTCTAGTTGGCAGGCAAATCTCCAAGTAAGGATTTAGTAAGAACAAGGCAGTGGCTCACGTCCTGAGAGTCAGGGAGGGGTCTCCAGCCTTCCATTGCACAGTCACCCCTGCTAATTGAAGCTCAGAGGTCTCTGGACATTCATTGCTGGCAACACTCTCTAGGGTGTTCATTCTGTAAGGCTGGACATGGAGTCGACCCATGTGTCATGAACTTCTCCCTGAGGAAATAAACACAAACACCTGCTTTCCCAGATAGAGTAACACTGACAGAACAGAGAGCAATCCTACCAAAGTCCAACGTGGGGAACCAAGGAGTTCACAGGGGTTCCTCGCAGAGCAGGGGTGAGGGTTCCTTACAGAGCAGGGGTGAGGGTTCCTTACAGAGCAGAGTGGGGGTTCCTTACAGAGCAGGGGTGAGGGGTAACTTTAGAGCATGGTGAGGGGTTACTTAATAGTAGTGTGGGTGGACCCCAAATCATCAAAGTCTCACCCCAGTATGGATGGCAACTCCTCACAGCTGCACAGACCGACTCACTCCCTCAGCTCTCTACACTCCGTATCTAGCAACCCCCAGAACATGAAACCATGTGCAGCTGGGGCAGAGCGGCGCAGACGGCAGGGAACAAAGAAAGGGAGTGGACGCAGTCTCAGGGTGATGATACCACTGGATACACCTTCAACAGTCGACAGGCATGCTTCTGGGGTCTCCAGCCAGGACCAGCGGAAGCTCTAACAGAGATGCTAACAGCTGTTAGGTTGGGAGGACCGCATTCTACACACAGCTGCACCAACCATCCTTGAACTCAGAGGAAAGAGGACGAAGCCTTCGCACTTCCTTCTGGGTTCAGACCTAGGGAGGCACTGGGTTGCTGTTTCCTTTCAGAACATGGCTTCAGAGGTCTCTTGGCAGATGTTCGGAATCCTGAACCTTGGCCACATGCAGAATTTTTAAATTCTCCCTCTTTGGTCACCTTTACAATGTGGGACACAGCAGGGTTGACACAGTGTGGCCCAGAAGTCTTACCCTACTACTTACTAGAAAAAATAATAGCTCCTTTTATCTCAATTTCTTGACCGCAAAAATGAGAATGTTCACCTATTGTAGCCTTGAGTTCTGATACGGTAGAAATGCCAATTATTAGCATTAAGAATGTACATCCACAGTGGTCCTGGTTTCTGACATAGTACAGATGTCTATTTTCATTATAGTAATAATTCTTACTGTCAGCAATTAAAAACTTGTTTACCATAATAAGCTCACACCAACAGCCTCACCGCTCCTCTTTAGCCATAGACACAATCATAAGCTTCTAATGCTGTTAAGAATATGATTTTATACAACTCCTTTGCTTGGGGTTTAATATGCATCTCCATGTGCTTACCTAGGATTTATTCTGATTCTTAAAATATCTAAGTGCAATTTCTTGCATATGATCCGGAGTACGGATTCTGCCCAGATGAGGCCAAGGAGAAAATGGATGGATTCCTGATATTTACATTCAGGAATGTTCCTCGTGGCTGAGCCGGCCCATGAGCACGTGTTGAGGACAGCTGTGTTTCCAAAAGGTGTGGCAGGGAGCGCTGGTTCTTGGGAGGAAAGAACACAGAGCAAAGCAGAGAGGTGAAGGGCTCACCCTGGGGCTTCCCATTTTCCAGCTTCTCAGATGCCCTTGGACCCTTTGATGTGGTGAGGTGGCCCTAAAGCTTTATGTAAGACGTCCTCCCCGGGTGAGGTACATTTCTGGAATGGATTTCTGTGACCCGAAACCAGAAGAACTTTAACTAACACACCGGTGCTATATCTGGGTCACCTCCAGCTGCTTCATTCGCACACAGCCAAGGTAGCGGGTTGAGCCTCATAGCTCCTCAGGATGTATGCATTAATCAGAGACCTGAACAGACGGAGTGTGCTCACCTTCTCCCTTGCTCCCGAACATATCCAGGGTATGGCTTTGCTAGACAGGAATGGGGTGCTGATGGACCCTCAGGAGACAGAACTCTAGAGATAAGGAGGGACTGATACGTGGCTCTCGTTGGGAAACAGGCTTCATTTTTACTTATCAAGTAACCTCTGCCTCCATCATTGACTAGAAAGATTGGACGTAGAGAAGTGTCCATGTGCCCAGATGTTCCTTGACCCCAAAGAAAAAAAGGCTGAGTGCCTCCCTTTGACTTTTTACCTCTGGAAACATCCATTCTTTTTCCCTTCAGCATACAGAACCTCAAGACTTGCTCATTAAATGCCATAGTCTCCAAATACTCTTGGCAGACACAAAGGTCTTTTGAAAGTATTTGATATCAACAAGGCAGGTCATTGTCAAGGGCACCGGGAGTGATGGAGAAACACATGGAAGACAAAGAGCTAGAGAAATAGAAGACAGACTCTCTTGGCTTCCTCCTGTCCTCTGGTCCCCACAAGGCACTATGGTACAGAAGAAAGATTGCTGCCGGGTAGCCAAAGAGGTCTACCTTTGCTTCCCAGCCTTGCCCTCAATAATAAAAATGAGATTAAGAAACAGGAAGAAGAGAAGCAGCCCCAGACTTTAACCACCGACTGCTGTGGAGTGCTCATGTTGGATTCTTAGAATACACAGAGGAGAAGAGGGATTGGAGAAGAGATTTTTCACGTCAGAGGAGGCATCGAAACACTGCTGCGTGACTCTAGCACCTCCCCCAATCCCCGTTACCCTGCCCATCCAGTAG